TTTGCTTCTCCATAAAGTTTTTCTTTTTCACCCGAGCTAGAATTTTCAACAATTATACATGGAATGTTTGGCTAGGTATCTACATATATAAAATAATAGTTTCCATTTTTCTATTAAAAAAAATAAATAATTATCATCTTGAATACACCACCATAAAGGAATTAAACCTCAACTATATAAATTACAGTTCGGTACCCAAACTTAATAGATGTTTAGATTTATAACCTAAATTTATTTTTTGACACATAATTCCTCAAAATATTGATGGAACATTACATTTTAGTATCTAAAGTTTTTGTGTATGACATTTTGGTGCCTAACTTTTGAAGTTCTACAAATATGTCTAATTTTTGTATGTGTAATTGAAACACCCTGGAATAAATGGGTATCCATACCCAACTCATACACATTTAGATTATGAAAGTAAATATCCATACCCTACCCAAACTCATCTGCAAAGTTTCAAACCCATATATATGTCACCCAAACTCTACCAATAATCAATGAGTCTACATGGGTTTAGGTAAATATCATTTCTTAGCCAAAATTTTCAATGTTTTTTAAATTGGATGTTGACTACCATATATCTCTTCTCAGTCAATATCATATTTTCAAGTCAATATTACTAACAAAACTGCTAACAAAAAATTAATTTTAGAATAATACTACTAACAAAATACCATAACGGGCCACATAATACATGCCCATAGGCCATCTCTGCCACGTGCAAGGCGCGGCATCTCCACCTAGTATATATATGGGGAGTTCTACGGTACCCAGGGTGAAATCCGAGGTACCGCATACCTTGAGTAAGAAAATGCTATCCAGAACTTGAATTGTCTGATCTTTTAGACATGATACTATACTCTAACCCTTAAAGATCAAAATCTAGGTCTCAATTCTCTAAATCTTATACCCCAAGATCAATTTAATTAGAAACAATAATAGACAGTTATGATTCGTCCAAATATAGGCAAAAAATCAATGCACCATCTTAGGGTTTATAGTTTATGATTTAGATAATTAGGACCTAGGGTTCACTCAATAAGGGTTAGGGTATAGTATCATGCCCACAAATCCTGCTAATTCGAGGTCTAGATAGCTTTTTCATACTCAAGATATGCGGTACCCCGGATTTCACCCTGGGTACCGTAGAACTCCCCATATATATATATATAGAAAATGATATAATCTAACCCGTAAAGATCTACGGTACTCAGGGTGAAATCCGGGGTACCGCATACATTGAGTAAGAAAATGATATATAGAACCTGAATTGATTAATCTTTCGGACATGATACTATAATCTAACCCTTAAAGATCAAAATCTCGTTCTTAATTCTCTAAATCTTATTCCCCAAGATCAATTTAATTAGAAACAATAATCGACGGTTATGATTCGTCCAAATATAGGCAAAAAATCAATGCACCATCTTAGGGTTTATAGTTTAGATTTATATAATTAGGACCTAGGGTTCACTCATTAAGGGTTAGGGTATAGTATCATGCCTAAAAATCCTGCTAATTCGAGTTCTAGATAGCGTTTTCATAGTCAGGGTATGCGGTACCCCAGATTTCACCCGAGGTACCATAGAAGGCACCATATATATATATATATATATATATATATATATATCAAAGGCTAGCGTACGTTGTACGCCTATGTTCAGACTTGGTTTTTGCACTTCAATATATTTTGTTGAATCAAAACCGTTGGTTATTATTTTTTTAGATTAAATGAATCTTGTGGCTTGGGTTAGAGAATTAGGGACTGGGGTTCACCCATTAGAGGTTAGGGTATAGTATCATACCCCAAACTCCGGTTAATTCAACTCTAAATAGTAAAACCCGATGGGCGTACTATGTATGACTGACGAACGCTAGCCTGAACCTGGCAAAGGCTAGTGTACGTCAGGCGTACACTATACCCCTGTCTTCACACTTGGTTTTTGCACTTCAAAATATTTCGTTGAATCAGAACCGTCGGTTTATATTTTTTAGATTAAATGAGTCTTGTAGATTGGGTAAGTTGGGATTGTTAAGATCCGATGATAGTTTACGACTATCAATTATAGTTGTCAAATCTCAAACCTTCTAAACTTTTTTTAGCATTTTGATTAAATAAAGCACTATATGGCTCAAATAGGGGTGGGCATGGTCGATTCGGTCCAAAACCGGACCAAACTATCCTTGGACCAGACCAAAATTTCTTCTAAATCAAGGACCAAAGTCGAATCGTTATTACTTTGATTCGGTCTGGATCAAACCATATATGGCTCGATTCGGTCTAGACCATCCCATTGGACCGACTAATCTTTCATTCGAATAAAATCACTCTTAAAGGACAACACAAGAATTAAAAATATAACTACAAAAAAAGAAGTAATCAAATTATCCCAATTTAAATACTCCACAATTCTTAAAACACACACGTTCCAAATTAAAATATTATGCAAAAAGCTAAACGAGAACTACTTAACTAAAAGACAAAAGTCTTTTTATTCAATCACAAATGTAGTCTAATTAATTGCCTCTCTAATCTTCCATTTTCATTTCTAGAGTGCACGTTGGACCTCCCAATATCTAGAATTTCCACTATTCATTAGAAAACCTTTCTTCTGCAATATAAGCACATGATATAAGGCATAAGAAAGGAGTTTAACAAAGTGACACTTACTACAAGAACTAGTGCAATAAAACAAATGATTCTTAACCTTGCTAATTTGCAGTGGTGTTGTCAGACTTGGCAGAAGCCTCTGTGGTGTCATTTATTTGCATCTTCTCCATATCTGAAACATTATACAAGAAAAGATAACACAATATAAATAACTAGTTCACAGTGTGTATGTAAAGTAAGCAGCTCTCTTGATCGAAGCAACGCGGATGAGAACTCTGATTTGAGTGTAGGACTATAGGAGCGGGAGCAACGAGTCAAAATCAAGGAAAGTCAATAATATTTATAGGTAGTTAAGTGTCGTGCAGGGTACTAGGCTTTTCAACTCCAAGTTGACTTGCCTTCTCAGAGCCTAATAAAATACCCAATTAATATAATTACGATCCGGTCCGGTCCTTAGCTTGATTTTACGGTGTCGGTCTGGACCAAACCAAAACTGAAAATGTTCCTAATTCAGAAACCAAAGCCGAATCGAAAGATAAACAGTTCGATCCGTGTTCACTAAAATTAGTTCAATAGTTCAAGTTTGGTCACTCTTCGTTAGTCTCTGTTAACTTTTGCGGATGTGGCAGTCAACCTTCATAGTTGACCTTTAAATGAGTGATGTGGCTATTTAAAAATAATAATGAAAAAATTTACTATTTTAGTTTACACCTATTTTTCACGACTATTAAAAAACGAAATCCAAAAGTTTGTTATTCCCCCACTGGCGAACCCTCCGCTTCTCCTCCGGTAAGTAGCGACTAATTATTTTCACCATTCACCGTCGTTGATTCAAGCAACTACATCTTCCCCGCTATCGGCGAACCTCCGCTTCTCCTCTGGTCTTCAACCAGGTCAAGGTTTTCAACTTTTTTCCGCTCTTAGCGACTCGACATGCCTATCTTCACTAGAGATTGGTGCGGCGCCGGAGCACGAAAGTCCAAAAAGCCAGAACCCCATGAAAACCATACCACGATTCTTCGATGGTAACCAGACCTGTTGGTTGAAATACAAAAACTACACCCCTTGGTCCTTACCTAAATCAAGAAGGGGTTAGGTCGAGGAAGAAGGGGACTGGGAATTCGAAATCGATGGAGGAGAGAGGGATTGACGACGGCTTCTATAAGGAGTTGAAGGGGTGGGGTTTGTACCTTCAACCGTGACCTTCTAGTTGGGGTTTTTAGTGTAAATTGTTTGATTGTAAATCAGGGAAACCTGTATGCAGAGAAAAAGAGTATAGTCGAAACTGATTCGTCAAATGCAGAATGAGTAAATGAAACCGAATGGGGGAGAGCAAAAGAAGCTAGGGGTGACCGGGATAAAGCATGACTTAAAACATAGATTGTGACAGCTAAAGATGGCGTTTGTAGTTGTGGTGCGATGAAGCCTGCCACATATTAAGCGATTGGAACGGTGCTTGGCGTCATCCAACAGATTTGGATATGGGACGAAATCGACATCGACTACGATTAATCTCTAAGGAGCTGTTGGGCTCGGATTGATCTTGAGCATAAGTTTAGAAGAATCGCCCAATCCGATTGATTTCACAAAGAATTCAATGGATCTAGTCGGAACAACAAAGGATCTGGCAAAGGAAGGGATGGTTGCACCGAAGTCCATCTTTCTATGGAGAGAGGATTAGCGCAGCAGACAGCTTCTTCATCGAGAAAAATTTAATGATTACTTTTTTATTATTAATTTGTAAATGACACATCACTCATTTAACGGTCAACTATGAAAGTTGACTATCGCATCAGCAAAAGTTAATGGAGACTAACGAAGAGTGACCAAATTTGAACTATCGAACTAATTTTAGTGACAACGAATAACATTAAATATTTGTAGTGACCAAATATGAACGTTTTTAGTAAACCCAATGACAATATTAACCCATATATTTTGTAGATAGTAAAATTCGTATGCATATATTTTATAGGTAGGGTTGTGAGAATTGTGTAGGCCTTTGGTCCAAGTAAAGCCCATTGCTGGCCTGGGGTATCCTCTTGGATGGCTAGCCCACCCAGTTATTGCAGCAAGCCCAGATAAAAGCCCAAGCTATGGACCCAATCTGTGTCCCTGTTAAAGCAACGTAAAAGCAAAAGCGGGAGCTTGTAACTGTTTAGCTGTTTCCTTTAGGACCGCGTTACTTACCGCCTTGTCCGTCGGTGACGCTGCCGACAAATCCAGACAAAGAGACAAACGAAACCGGCAACCGATCCAGCCGGTGAAGTTCCCCAACGGCTCCGATAATGATAACTTAACAAATCTCAAATCACCCTAATGAACCACCCCACAGATTTTTCCTCCAATTAATTAAAGAAGAAAACACTAATCAAATACACTCATTTCGGCGATTTCCTTTTTCTTTCTTACAAGCAACATCAATCAATCATTTTAGTTAAAAATTTAAAATATATAACAAATTAAAAAAGACAGTCAGTTCGATGTAATCGACAGTACATCTACTGGATCGCCAGCTGTATGTAGAGAGAAATGAGCAGCGAAGCGTAAATAAAAAGAGATAACAGGGGGAGAGAGCGAGAGACAGAGAGAGCAGGAAATGGCGTGCTGAGGGGGCGACAAGCACCACAACTCAACTGTGAGGTTCCCACTGGAAAGCTAGAGAGAGAGAGAGAGAGAGACATCATGGAAGCGAGTGCCGGTATGGTTGCCGGATCCTACCGCCGGAACGAGCTGGTTAGGATTCGCCACGATTCCGACAGCGGGGTAATTCATCTCCCTTCTTCTTCTTCTTCACTCTTTCCGTTGGTTCTGGGTATTTCTATGTTAGCATTTCTTCAGTGTGGGTATTATTGGGCTGTCGGTGGCAATTGGTTTACTGGGTATTTGATTAGTGGTGGATTTAGTAGTCGCTTGTCAGATCTTGATGTGATTAGCGTTGATTTAGAGATTTGCTGATAGGGGCAGCTGGTTTGCTTACGAAATGGACTGCTGGGGGATTAATCGATTAGATCTGTCTTCTAGATTTGATGACTGGAAAGGTTGAAGCTTTCGCCTTTAAGTGTGATTTCAGTGATATTGTCCTCAATTTCGGATATTTGCCCTAGATTTTGGTTCTTCTCTCTGATCTTTTGCTTTAGTTACTAAACTTGCCCCCAGTGTCCTGTCAGATTAGGATTCGAACAACTATCTAGATGTTTCTTGGTTGGTGTCTGAGATTCTTCTATGCGAGATTCTTGAATCCGATTGTTGAACAAGTTCAGATATATACGTCTTGTCATTGCAATCTAGATCACTAGCATTAGGATGTGATTTGGTAATCAAAAAGTGGTAACGGATTGCTTTGGATAATTTTTGTAGCCCAAACCATTGAAGAATCTGAATGGTCAGACCTGCCAGATCTGCGGCGATAGTGTTGGACTTACTGCTAGTGGTGATGTCTTTGTTGCCTGCAATGAGTGTGCCTTCCCTGTTTGCCGTCCTTGCTATGAGTATGAGAGGAAGGATGGCACCCAGTCTTGCCCTCAATGCAAGACTAGGTACAAGAGGCACAAAGGTTAGTTTTTCCCCCAAATGCTAGTAGATGCATTCATTGATGCCTTGTTAAGAATTCTGGGTGCTGATTGATTTTTGATTTACTAATTCAGGGTGCCCTCGGGTTGATGGAGATGAAGATGAAGACGATGTTGATGATCTTGAAGATGAGTTCAGTTATCAAGGCATGGGCAAAGCACGTCGCCACTGGCAGGGTGATGATGTGGAACTGTCTTCATCATCCAGACATGAAAGTCAAATGCCAATTCCCCTTCTGACTAATGGGCCACAGGTGGTTAGAGATTACACAAGTGAAATTACCTTTGATGAGAAGTAGTTCCTCCTTTGATTCCTTTCTCATGGCTTGTTACTTTGTTTATGTTACACCTTTAGGTTTCTGGTGAAATTCCTACCCCTGACACGCAGTCTGTGCGAACTACGTCAGGGCCTTTGGGCCCTACGGAGAAGAATGTACAATCATCTCCTTATATCGATCCAAGGCAACCAGGTAATTAAGCAATCTGAATGTGATATTTCTTATACTTTCTGATATGTTTGTTTCCATAATTTCTAACTTTATAAACATGATGTGTTGGTACAGTTCCTGTTAGAATTGTGGATCCTTCAAAGGACTTGAATTCTTATGGCCTTGGGAATGTGGACTGGAAGGAAAGGGTGGAAGGTTGGAAACTCAAACAGGAGAAGAACATGGTGCATATGAGTAACAGACATAGTGAAGGAAAAGGTGATATTGAAGGCACTGGTTCTAATGGGGAAGAGCTCCAAATGTAAGTTCCTTGCTTTGTAGAAGTTGGATGCTTTAATTCTCTCGGTACAATTTCTCATTTCTCTTTTTGTTTCCATTTCTTTCTTGTTAAACAGGGCTGATGATGCTCGACAGCCTCTTAGCCGGGTGGTTCCTATTCCTTCTTCTCACTTGACCCCATATCGTGTTGTAATCATTCTCCGGCTGATCATTTTGGGGTTCTTCTTGCAATACCGTGTCACTCACCCCGTGAAGGATGCATACCCATTGTGGCTTATCTCTGTCATTTGTGAGATCTGGTTTGCTTTGTCTTGGATTCTGGATCAGTTTCCCAAATGGTATCCCATCAATCGTGAGACCTACCTTGACAGGCTTGCTTTGAGGTTAGTAGTTTAGTACTGAATCGCAGACCGATATTTTAAAGTTTGCGAAAGGCCTGTTCAAAGAATGTGTGCTTTGTATTTACAGGTATGATCGTGAAGGGGAGCCATCTCAACTAGCACCTGTTGATGTGTTTGTGAGTACTGTGGACCCCATGAAAGAACCTCCACTGATTACTGCAAACACTGTCTTGTCAATTCTCTCTGTGGATTACCCGGTTGACAAAGTATCATGCTATGTCTCTGACGATGGTTCAGCAATGTTGACATTTGAATCCCTCTCCGAGACTGCTGAATTCGCTAGGAAGTGGGTGCCATTCTGCAAGAAGCATAATATCGAGCCTAGAGCTCCTGAGTTTTACTTTGCCCAAAAGATTGATTACTTGAAGGACAAGATTCAACCTTCATTTGTCAAAGAGAGACGAGCAATGAAGGTGTGCCTATCTGAAATATTCCGTTGTAACTTGTGAATGGTTTCATCATTTGCATTGATATTGAGAGGACACATCTACTATGTGCAGAGAGAATATGAAGAATTCAAGGTGCGAATCAATGCACTGGTTGCTAAAGCACAAAAGATGCCTGAAGAAGGCTGGACTATGCAAGATGGAACCCCATGGCCTGGAAATAATCCTAGGGATCATCCTGGAATGATCCAGGTACTATATTGTTCCTCTCCACTCTCGCTGATTCTAACCTTTCTTGTCATCTTTCTCAGCCAAAATTGACAAATTCCCCCCTTTGGTGAAAAAATAGGTCTTTTTAGGACACAGTGGTGGACTTGATACAGATGGAAATGAACTACCTCGTCTTGTCTATGTTTCTCGTGAAAAGAGACCTGGTTTCCAACATCACAAGAAAGCTGGAGCTATGAACGCATTGATTCGAGTTTCAGCTGTACTGACCAATGGTGCCTATCTACTGAATGTTGATTGTGATCACTACTTCAACAACAGCAAAGCTGTGAAAGAAGCCATGTGTTTCATGATGGACCCTGCCTATGGAAAGAAGACATGCTATGTGCAGTTCCCCCAGAGGTTCGATGGCATTGATTTGCACGATCGATATGCTAATCGCAATATCGTCTTCTTCGACGTAAGTCTCTGCATGATTAATATCTATTAGCAAACATCCTCTCTTGGATTTTGGTTCAACTGTCATATAAGACTTGTGCTTTATGCTGTCATCCGAACTTTTCAGATCAACTTGAAGGGGCTGGACGGTATCCAGGGCCCAGTTTATGTGGGAACTGGTTGTTGTTTCAACAGACAAGCACTTTACGGTTATGATCCTGTTCTTACCGAGGAGGATTTAGAACCCAACATTGTTGTCAAGAGCTGCTGTGGATCAAGGAAGAAGAGCAAGAGTGGCAACAAGAAATATTATGATAAGAAGAAAGGAATAAAGAGAACCGACTCTTCTGTCCCAATGTTCAATCCAGAAGATATTGAGGATGGCGTGGAAGGTTGGTTTCCTAGGAATTTTTACCTCTATTCTTCCATCTCTTGCAAGGAATTCAGTACTCCTTTTTTTACTGTCCAGCTCAAGGCTACAGACCTATTGCCCTAATTTCCTTTTTTTATATCAGATCATCTTTTTGATTGACATGTTAATATATTCATAATCCTCGTGCTTTAAAGGAAGGTGTGCATCTCTCATCTTAACTGTGTTGATGCTTTTCTCTAGGCTATGATGACGAGAGGTCTCTCCTAATGTCTCAGAGGAGTCTTGAAAAGCGTTTTGGTCAGTCACCAGTTTTCATTTCTGCAACATTCATGGAGCAAGGAGGCATTCCACCCTCAACGAATCCTGCTACCCTTCTCAAGGAAGCTATCCATGTCATTAGTTGTGGTTATGAAGACAAGACCGAGTGGGGCAAAGAGGTTGGTATCTGGTATCATCTTAACACTATCTAGTCAGTTTGTACAGTGTTGACTGAATCATTTTCGTCTGCTGACACAGATTGGATGGATCTATGGTTCGGTTACTGAAGATATTTTAACTGGGTTCAAGATGCATGCCCGTGGTTGGATTTCTGTCTACTGCATGCCTCCACGCCCAGCATTCAAAGGGTCTGCGCCTATTAATCTGTCTGATCGACTGAACCAGGTTCTTCGATGGGCCTTGGGTTCGATTGAGATCTTGTTGAGCAGGCATTGCCCCATATGGTATGGCTACAATGGGAAACTAAGACTTTTGGAGAGGCTGGCCTACATTAACACCATTGTCTATCCCATAACATCTCTTCCACTGCTCGCCTACTGTGTTCTTCCTGCCTTCTGTCTCCTCACTAACAAATTCATAATTCCCGAGGTTCGTAGCATTCTCTCCTTAATTGCACGTAGAACTGAAAAGCATATTAGAACCAGAATTGTAAGATTTTACGGATCATGCAAAATAAAATTTACACTTTTTCATTTACCAATCAATCTCCTCTACCTATAAAATTTTGTGAGCTTAAAAGAATTTGAAATTCGTCGTATACATCTCTTTTGAGTCATGGATTACACCGTTCTTATTCCTACTTTGCTATATTTCCAGATAAGCAACTTTGCCAGTATGTGGTTCATCCTTCTCTTTTGCTCCATTATCGCCACTGGAATCCTCGAACTCCGATGGAGTGGAGTTGGTCTTGAGGACTGGTGGAGGAATGAGCAGTTCTGGGTCATCGGTGGCACATCAGCTCATCTCTTTGCCGTCTTCCAAGGTCTCCTTAAGGTCCTTGCTGGGATCGATACCAACTTCACAGTCACATCGAAAGCTAATGATGAAGACGGCGACTTTGCTGAGCTCTACATCTTCAAATGGACGGCTCTCCTCATCCCGCCAACCACGGTCCTCATAGTAAACCTGGTGGGCATCGTTGCTGGTGTCTCCTTCGCCATTAACAGTGGCTATCAATCATGGGGCCCACTGTTTGGAAAGCTGTTCTTCGCCTTGTGGGTCGTTGCCCATTTGTATCCCTTCCTCAAGGGTCTTTTAGGTCGCCAGAATCGTACTCCGACAATTGTCATCGTCTGGTCCATTCTGCTCGCCTCCATCTTCTCGTTGCTGTGGGTGCGTATCGATCCCTTCACCTCGGATTCCACGAAATCTGCTTCTAATGGTCAGTGTGGTATCAACTGCTAGGATACGTTTGTTTCCATATATAAGATCCTTCGTGTACATAACAATGACGATTCGAGGAGGTGAAGAGATGGTGTGCTGTTTATGTAAAACTTGCTCATGACCCAGACAAAGGAAGGGAAGGATAGATGCCTCATGTCGTTTTTTGTGGGAGTTTTGTGATGCTATATGCTGGAAGGACATAGCCAACTGTAACTGTGATTTATTTGTGTACACTACGAGGAAGGAACCTGTCTTTTTGTTATAATGTTATTCTTTGGTAATATTATCCTTTTTATATGTAAGCAGAATTTTTATATTGGAGTCGTTCGATCCTTGGACCATTAGGAAAGATGGTCTTGGCTGTTGAAACGTTACTCAATAGTTTGCTAGGATTGTAATGCAGATGGTGAAGTGAATGTTTCAGCTTTGTCAATGTTCGTATTCATGCTTGGCATACATTTTGATGTCTTTAAATAGTAGCAGCCACAGCCCACAATAACAAATTTGGGGTTAAAAACACATTTGGTCACTGAGATTACAAAATTGGGACATGTTTAGTCACTAGAAAAAGTTAATATCAAATTTGGTCACTACAATTGTTAAAACTGGACGCATTTAGTCACTCGTCGTTAGTCTCCGTCCAACTCCGTTAATGAAGTCCGTTAAGTGCTGATGTGGCAAACAAAATTGCCTAATCAGCCGGATATAACCCAACAAAAATAAAACCCGACCCGCCACGTCATTAAAACCAACTCAACCCAACCCATGACCCAACCCTACCCAACCCTTCTTCCTCCTTCCTCCCACCTCGGCACCTCCCACCTCCTTCTTTCCCCAAAACCACCGCCGTCGCCGCTCTCCTCCTTCCTCCCACCTCCTCCCGCAAACCTGTTCGACCAAACCCAGCAGTCTCGGTCGTGCATAAAGACGACTTTTTCCAGATCGTCGCCGAGATCTTCCTCCACGAGCTCGTCGATTTTGAATTCCTTCCTCCACTGGATCGTGTTCTTCGGCATCGTGAACGCTTCCTTCACTTTGAAATCCCTAGCTCTCAAGAACTTCAGCAGAACGACGAGGAAGAGGAAGCAGCAGCTGCCGCAGGCTCTTCCTTTGCTGGAGTAACTTCTTCTTCTAGCTTTTTAGCGGCCGGTGGAGTAATCTCTGTGCTGACATTGGAGCTTTGATCTTCAGATTTCTGAGCTTCCGTAGCAGCGGCGGTGGTAGCGTGGTAGCGGCGGAAGAGGAAGTCCGAATCTCCTCCTTTGGCGGCGGCGGAGGAGAAGGAGAGGTGAAGGAGCGAGAGTCCAGAGCTTCCTGGACCAGCTGCTTGAACTCATCGAGAGCATTCTTCTCCGAATCGGACAGATCAGAGACTCGATTGCTCTCTTCCTTGAACGAGATCAGAGACTCCGGAACCTTCAATTTCTCCTTCTTCTCCGCCTCGCCGGTGAACTCCTCTTTGATTACCACCGATTTCGCGACCACTTCGGCTTTCACCGGCGCCGCTTCTACTTCTGCTCTCTTCTCCTCCTCTGGCGGCGGTGCGGCGGATGAATCCTCCGCGGAAATCGCAGCAGCTGGGGCTTGCTCCGGCGGCGGTGGCGGTGCTACCGGGAGCTCTTCTACGGCGGATTGAGGGGGTGGCGGAGGAGGAGCGGCGGAGGGCGGAGGTTCGTCGGCCATTTGTTGAGGTTTTGATATTCGGTGAGGTTTTGTCAGAGGAGATGAACAGATTTGGTGAGGGATGGTGAAGGATTGGTCTGCTGGGTTAGGTCGAACAGGTTTGCGGGAGGAGGTGGGAGGAAGGAGGAGAGCGGCGGCGGCGGCGGTGGTTTTGAGGAAAGAAGGAGGTGGGAGGAAGGAGGAAGAAGGGTTGGGTGGGGTTGGGTTGGGTTGGGTCATGGGTTGGGTTGGTTTTAATGACGTGGCAGGTCGGGTTTTATTTTTGTTGGGTTATATCTGGCTGATTAGGCAATTTTGTTTCCCACAACAGCACTTAACGGACTTCATTAACGGAGTTGGACGAAGACTAACGGCGAGTGACTAAATGCGTCCAGTTTTAGTAATTGTAGTGACCAAATTTGATATTAACTTTTTCTAGTGACTAAACATGTCCCGATTTTGTAATCTCAGTGACCAAATGTGTCTTTAACCCAACAAATTTGACATTCGATCGAATCAGAGAGCAGATATATTAAATTTGATGATCAAAATCAATCGTTGGATCAAATGCTATTCGACTCAACTTTTATATTAAAATTCAAGATGACAGGATGTTATATGGCTACGATCCCATGCAACCCTCAAAAACAAAGGAAAACATATAGATTGAATCGGAACTGAACTTGATAGAATGCATTGATTTGGTCCAAGTTCATTCTTCCTTTCCTTATATTAGGGGTGAGATATTGGTTCGGTTTGGTTAAACGAATGAAAAATTCAGTAACAAAAAAAACCGAACCAAAACTTTTAACGATTCGATAGACCAAAGACTAAGATATCTTAACAATTCAGTTTGTGTTCAAGGAACCTAAAACCTAATGGCTTGTGTAATGAGTGTTTGTGTATTGTGGTTGTAACTTTTTAAGTGTTAACAGAAACTGAAATCAATAAATGCAAAATGGTTTGGACCGATACCAAAAAATGGTAAAAGGACATTAGTTTAAAGCCGGAAAGCCAAAATCATACTAAGTTTTAGTTTAATCCGAAAAACCAAAATTGAACTGCAATCCTACTTATATCCGATCATCTGCGGGTTTGGGCTGACCCACCCGCACTCGTTAAGTGGGTGGGTGACGGGTTGCGCTGGGAGCCATCCGCCGGGTGGTGGGTGGGTTGTGGGTGAGTGTGCGGGTGACCCGCTCAACCCAACAGCAAAAAAGATCAAAGTCGTTGACGCTAGAGAGGAGAGTGGAGACGTTAGATATAAACTCGGACTGCTCCTGGAGTTTGAACCTCAAAGCCAACCTTCCAAATAGAGATCCCCTCTTCTTCCCTTTACTTTTTCCTCTAATTCTTGTGCCTAGATCACCGCTCTTTCCTATGTGGAATTATTTTCTTTAGTTCCTTGCACCTAATAATCGTCTCAATCTGTAGAAAACTCTTTCATAATAAAATTTCTATCCAATTTAAGAACTAATTCGACATTTCGCCATATTTCAACTTCTTGTTTCCATCGATGATTCTCTTCACCTATTATCATGTCAAGTTGGCTCCTTTATATTATATACATTATGATGTGGGTGAACCCACAAACCCACCCGCATCATCCACCATCCGCCCGACCCAACCCGAGACTAAATGTGGGTGGATGGTGGGTTAAAAAAAGTATCAATCTGTTCAAGCGCAGGTGGGTGGGTGCATTTTATGATCAAAATCCACCCCACCCACCCAATTGCCCACCCCTACTGGTAGATTCCTTGATGGGTATCCTTTTGTTTGTTGAAATCTCAACACCAGCAACTAACTCTCTCGCCATAATTGGGTATCCTGAACTCTTGATTCAATAGCTACCCAGCCAGGTTGCCAGTAACTAACCCCACACGATAATTTATTAGTGTACAACAGGTTCTTACTGTGAAGAGAACAATACAAAATAACGTTAGAATTGCTACAAGAAAATGGGTATTTTTTCAACACCTCACTTTCTGGTTAAGTTGACCCTAATGTGCTACAACATAGCAATGTTAAAAATTAGCGTGACAAAAAGATAACATACTAAGCAATAGAGCCCTACCACGGATGCTAGCTGCCTTTCAAGGTGGGGAAACAGATAGCTTCTTCCTACAAGTACACTCTTCAAGAGATAGGTTTTGACAATGGCTTCGAACAGGTTTGCTAGAACAAATGAGTGTCCTTTAGAGCTGGGGTGTAGGAGGGAGAACTCATTCACCTCTTTCCACGACCCGGCATGCCAGACCTGGGGCCAGGATAGCGAGAAAACTGTAGCCTCAAGTAGTTCGACTCCAGGTCATGCTCGTCCATCTTGTATCCTGCACATTCCGGTCCATTACCATTAGTAACCCGATGGGATTTGAAATAAAACAAGTATCGAATGCAATCTCAAGGTGAAGGTCCATTTTTTACCTTGCAAAGCACTCATTGCAGTAGCAGCACATGCAGGATCCATAAAATCAACAAAACAAAGAATGATTGGGTCTCCACCACGCTGCATTTGGTGATGTAAACAAAAGCATCAATGACGCTTAAGTTGCCAAGATAGATCACCAAAAACATCAAGGACAGGGCGATAGAAGTTCTAAAATTGATAAACTCACATGTTTAGATTCCTTGCTGACCAGTCTCAGGTCTTTGTATCCAACAAAAGGGCGAAAGATGTCTAAAGATACAAGTCAAGGAAATCAAACACATAGTAGTAGTCAAATGAAGCAAGTAGTAGAAGTTTTAGTCTGTTTAAGACAACACAGAAATCAATTCAATGATTATGAAATATTGTTGGTCCTACAATTTGTCTAAGTATGGTAGTGTGCACTGGAGCCACAGCATAAAAGAAGGAAGAGGGTAAGTGTAACATGTAAGATAATATATGCATTAGAAGGATACGTGCTACTTCTCTTCTTGTACAATCTGGAGGAAGTCCTTCAACGTAGAGAGTGTTTGAGGCATCGGGAGGAAGAGGTACTGTATCACGACCAGGTCGAGGTAATGAACTTGCTCCTCCTGATGGCGGGCCACCATAACCATTGGTTGTCATATCTGGAGCTGTTGCTCTAGAACGGTCCATTACAGCAGAATCTACGGTTGGGAGACTTGCCATTCCGCCACCTCCACCGAATGCATTGGCTTCTCTAGAAGCAGTAGGAAGACCTTGCTTCAAAAGGAATTAAGATGATTTTTTTAGTAAAGAACCATACATATGTATGATGGGTAAAGAAGGCAAAGGTAGGAGTGTAGGGGTATCACATTTTGAAGATAGCGCTCATATGCTGATACAATCGTCTTTGTGTCTTTCACAGGCTGATACCCGGTCCCACCATCTCTTGCATTTCCATAATAACTATTCATATCATAGCCTGCAGGAACTCCAGAATTTTGCATATCTGCTCAAATTGTTAGCACACTGTCAGATGGGCAAATCATTTGATAGTTACAGACTTACAGTCATCATGGTTCCATCACTAAGGCAACACGTTTATTCTTCTACAACATTGGAATGAATAAAAACAATTGCTAATAAAAATTAGTATAAGGCAAGCACAATTGTTAAAGCTACCATTAGGTGATATACAACATATGAATACACACATGCACACACAAACACGCTCATACTTGATGTTCAAATTCCCCAGCTTCACTTAATGACAACCACGAAACAGAACCAAGAGATTAAAGAAGGTATAACCTAAATCACATTATGGTCAAGAAGAAAGACAACAGGAAAGCCCATAAACATCCTCATTTGGGTCAAAAAAAGTACCAAGTGCACAACTCTGCTGCAAAGATGTCGGAGAAATTGGAAAAACAGTTGGCAAGAAATGAAATTGGAAAAAGCTTTCTTTCCTAGGGACACAAACAAATAGATGAGGAAACAAATAAACAAGTATGCTACGTTTCCTAGCTCTCGGAGGAAGCAATTGAAGACAGTTAACTAGCACAATAATACCAAGCTAGCTAAATAACCACCATAATGTAAATTGGCAAACGTCCAGCACAGGGTGCAGCCTAACTAAGATAGGCCAGCTGCATTACTTTTTTGCTTGGCATTTCTTATTGCCACTCTTCATCAATACACGAGAGAATAAAAAAAATATTCTGGCTGATCACAAAACTCACATTATAAGGATCTCAATCAAGTTCTGCCAGAATGGAAGACTGATCTCAAAGGAATTCACGATCACCTAAGCAACAAGTACATTTGTCTATGGAACCCAGCTGTACAACAAAGTCAATACAAAGCAGTTCAAGAAAAACTGAAGAGAAAATGTTCCACAGCAACCTATCCTCGTTTATCAAGAGATCGTACAATCGCACACATGTAGTCCACCGTACTGCCCATAGGACAAAACTACACACTGAATACTCCAAGAAGAAATGGGGAACAAGAATCCATACCATGTCCAGTCACATATTTCAGAAATTTGGAGATACTTTACCGCAGCATCACATGGAAAATAGCTACAACGCACAAGACGTTTCACATACGCAAACCAGGATCAGCATATAGCTCCACTCCAAGTTAAAAACTGAACAAAGAAGCAATTCCCTATGATCCAAAGATCCAAATGCAACAACTAACTATTTGTCTTGAAGAAAACAACACCACTCAGGGTTCACTCCACCCATCCTCTTTTTGCTTCAATTTACCGTACCCGTCTTCAAAAAACTGGAAATTGGTTTGAACTATTAAGAAGCAGCCTCCGTTCAGAAATTCATTTCTTCCATAACAATACAAACTTCGTCTAATTCAACAGTCACAAAATCATGTCATCTCAAAACACTATTAGAGATCAAGGTTAAACAAAACCCCTGAGCTCCGAGCCACATCGACGAAATTGAACAAGCAGATTCCCGAAGTTGAGAAGAAACACACAAAGGGCCAGAGTCTCATTAATACGAAGGAGAGAAAATGAGCGACGCACCATACTCAGTGCGAGGCCGCTTAAGCATGCCGCCGGCGGGGAGAAGAGAAGGTTGTTGCTGCTGGTTCCAGTAGCCGTCCGACATTGTTTCCCTTTTAACCTGGTACGAGAAACCAGAAATTCCCACTCCAAGGGGAGCTTCGAAAGGGAAGAAATTGAGCTTTCTCCGAGAGAGATCAGAGCTGAACCACAAACCCTAACTTCAGAGGCGATGACAATTGGAGGGAGAGACCTTCGGGTAAATGATGATATGAATGCCAATTTCTGGAAATTGAAGCAAAGCGCTTGATTATCAATTTCCCCTTCCTTTTCTTTTCAGTTTCATTCATGTTTGTTCTGTTCAGTGCGGTGGGCTAACGCCGAACGGCACTGCATTTTCTAGACGGGGTATTAAGGATGAATTGGGCTCAAGCCCAAGGACTATTAGGTAGTTCACAATAAACGTACAAGGCTATGAACAAAAATAGCCCTAATCCAACCCGCCCATTCCATTCCATTCAATTCAATTCAATCCAATCCAGTCCACATGTACTATGGTTAAAATCAAGGTTTAACATTGCGGGAGGTTATCTTTTGAGGAATCCGCCTCTTTTAGGCTAGGTGGGGGTTTTGGGTATTAACCCGTAGATACCCGTCCGGTGTTATAACTATTGTCTTAAGTGTTTATACAAGATAAATTTATATAGTAGACTGTGAGAGAATTATGATATATTGTCATATTAGACCTATTTAATATAGGATATGGTTTACTTTGTTTCCTTTTTTTATGTGTAATTTAGAATTATTACATATTATGGATGTGTTAGCTTATAATGAATAATGTCTTTAGCTTATTTGGGTAAATATTTACGAAAAATACTAGACATGTGTTGAAGTAAATTGCACTTAATAAAGATCCAAACAACTACTTCTTTGCATTTTGATGTGTGTCGCTTTAGTTTATTTTCTTGAAATTTTAATTCGTTATATAATTCTTTTAGTGTTACGTTGGGTTTGTAGTTAAAAGTATAGCTCAACTGACCAAACTCAGTCATAAAACAAATTGTAGGGTTCTAATTCTTTTGTATGTGTCTGAATTTAATATTTTCAAAATCAAAATATATAGATAGGATGATTATAATTTAATTACTAAACTCGAACCACCCAATTCATGTATACTCCTACATATTGTTACGGGCAATGTAACATTGACTGGGAGTTTGATAATAATAATGACAATTCAAACTAGTCTCGACTGATATTTTTCATTTCAATCTACTTTAAGATGCAAATTTTTCAATTTGTGCTAAAATGGAGAGGATCGTGTCTTAACCCGTACATAGGATAGAATGGGCATGGATAGAGTTGATATTCCCTACCCATTCTATCCCCACTTATGAATCTTGCCCAAAAAAGAACTTCGTTGTTTTAGTCCAAGTGGTTAGCTTTTTAATTGAATGGTTATTAGTTTCTTAATAGTTTTATGATTTTATTTAAACATGATCAAAGAGATGATGTTAGCATACGTAGGGATAATAGAGCTAATAGTTTATAAATCAGAAAAACAAAATCACTAAATAGGGCAGGATGGGTCAGACAAATTTGGGATTAAAAGTGTTAATTCGTGTTGAGGCAGGACGAGTCACGGGCTAGAGGGCGAGACAAGATGCAGTTTGGTGATACTCAAAACCTGAAACTTCCAAATTCAAAATCAATAATATTATTACTGGATCAAATTTTTATTTGTATGTTTTTTTTTAATTATTGAATATTTTCATTTTCATGGAAGGTTGGTTCTTTCTGTTATTGTGCCATCCATTTCTTTGTTACTCTCCACACGTGAGCCAGAATCCAGAATATCAAATCAGGAGTGTCTTTTCATTAATACGACATAAATATCTAAACCAGATAAGTTAAATATTAAAATACGACTAATATAAACATGGAAAAAAAGTGACTGATCAATACAATTTTCATTTTCTATAAACAATGGTGATTTATTCCCATTTTGTAAAAAAATTGTAAGAAACATTAATGCATTTTTAATGTATCCCGCAGAACTTATCTTATCCTTCATCAAACTTCTCATATTAATGTAGAAATCTAATATTCAATGTCATGTGATTAATAATTTTCCCCTATGCCCTATGACACCCTTATCAATAGAGAAGAATTCCATGTCCAAGAAATTAGCCTAATGACTCTGAACAAAAAAACATTCAATTCATATCTTAAAGTCAGAATCACAAAATCAGCCAACGACGTTCCTTATAATAAACAAAAAAAAACGTAGTACAATTAAAACGTAATGAATCTAACTCTTCTACCGTACCCTTCATCCAGGAGCGGAAACCACTCTTGATCAGCTCGGGAAAATGGATCGCAATCAATCACAGGTGCATTATTATTGTGATCATCAAAGAAGTATATGTACACATGCACAAAGCTTGTGGGCAGGGTCCCATATTCACTCAATCATATGAATAGGGCTTCCATACCTGGTGCATGCATGTACAGCGATCGATCATTGTTGGGAGACAAGGATGAAGGCATCATATGAAATAAGTGAAGGTCTGGCCCCCTCCATATGTTTAGTTAAGTTTGGAAAGCGCACACATTCTAGCACCAGCTTTGCTTGCTTTCTCGGTCAAAAATGGATCTCATGTCAGGAACCATGGAACACACACCACTGCGCGCGCAGGTATATTATAAGGAAATGGGCCCCGTTGGTTTAAGTAGTGCTCGCTCATTGCTGTAGGATAACAACGTTTTGGTGCATGTTTAGGGTTTCAGAGGATTCAATTTCAACGTGCCTTCACCCTTTTTCTCATTTATTTATTTATATATAGTTTGGATCGATTACAATACAGCTGTGCTGGTGAAAGGACAACGGTGAAAATGAAAAGAAGATAAACAGTAAAATCGATCGCTGTCGACCGTTACAAGAGCTGCGATCCTATTGGTGCATTGGTGACGAATCATAGCCGGACACGTGCTCTCCTGGATGCGGATTGGTGATAAAGGAAACGGCAACGTTTTGATGTAGCTGCAACTTCCCTTGCTTCTGATCCACGATTGAGACTTGGAGGAGAAGAAAACCCACCATTTTCTTTTGTTATAGGAAATGTTGATACTACGAGAGGATGAAAATGAATCGTGAATGTTGTATTCGTATATAAAATCTTCGTAAGGGAGCAATTAATATAATGTATAATAATTCTCATATTGATTTACCCTATCAATTTTTATACAAATAACAAAACTTTATATAAAATGGGTATTCACGATAAAATGATAATGGTAACACAGTAGTAGATATTGATAGTAATTAAGAAAGGAGTAGAACATTCAAATTTGTTGTATGGCTTTCTATTGGGTTGTGCATTCCTAGAACTTCTTCGTGGTTCCATAAAACATCATAAGCACATGTAAAATATAGTTCCAGCACACATGCCTATATTGTTAATTCATTGATTAATATAAAGAGATAAATCTCTCGTCCATCCAAAATTTCCGAATCGCAAACCGGGGGTGGGGGCTTTTCGGTCGGCTCTACCAAAGAATATGAGGACTGCCCCGGCCTAGTTGCTCACTTGCCTACCTACCAAATCTAACATAGTACACGTATTTGTATGAGCATCCACAAATGAAGTTTCTAACGGGATTTGGATTGGGTGATATTTGGGAATTTAGGGATTGAGAAGATAGAATTAGGGATTTGGGAAAGAATTGGGGAAGAACAGAAGGGAATCGGCCTAGGCCTTTAGAGGGATTGAGATCGAGAATTGGGAAGATAGGGAGATTAGGGTTTAGGAGCTTCTTTGATAATTCTTTATTGATTGATCCTGAATAAAACGCAAAGTACATATTTATAATGAAAGACTGGAAAACCCTAACAATAAACCTAATTCTATTAAATGACTACTAACCTTAATAAGACTTACCCTAATAATAATTAAAATAATAAATATAGAAACCCTAGATAATTCGGTTTCTAACATCTCCTCCCCCTTCAGACCAACCTTGCCCTCAAGGTTGATCAATTCGACCCACTTCTTCCCGTCTACTGTGCAATCCACGTCGTGGCTCCTCCATTTACTACGTTTTCTTTTCTTCCAATCGTGCTCCACTATTCGGACGAAGCCCACTCCAGTGACCTCGACTCTCCTCCACTTTTCTCGAACCACGTGACACGGGTCACGGTCTCCATAGCCAAATAACTCTTCCCCTTCGTTCGCAAAATTCACTAAATAAGAATTGGAGAGATGTTCTTCTTCATGCTCCATAAACTCCTCCATTGACTTGGATGTGAAAATAATCCAATCTCCTCCTTTATCTTGGACTTGACCCACGATTGATTGGAAGGAAGAGATAGAGCCCAAACCAATGTTAGGCCTCATGGTGCTCCTCATCTTCTTCTCAATCTCGTGTGGGCTTGGCTCCCTTATAAGCCCATCTGCCAACTTAAGAACTTCATCCAATTCTGCTTTCCTCAAAACCCAGCCCAAATTGGGCTTAACTTCTTCAAATGTCGGCCCAAAACCATACAAAAGAGACCTTAAGAGACAGCCCAACTTAGGCCCACAACCTACCTGAAAATGCGGCCCATTCCTTCCTTCAGCACAACTTGTATCTTCTGTGCTTGGCTCATAACCAGACCTTGGCCCGGTCGGCTCAATCTCCTTCTTTGGCCCGCTCGGCTGATCCCAGTCAAGCCCACAGCCCGCACCAACTAACCCACCCGGACTGACGGCCCGATCAGAAGAGAGGCCCAAGGGTACTGGGCTTTGCTGCGCAGCGTGGATCACGGGGGGTGACCTAGGGTTCGGACGATGGAAAGCGATACCGCCGCCCTCCTTCCTCTGCTCGCTCGTCGTCCACCCCTTCCTCGGCGGCGATGGGCTCCTCTGCCGGTGGAAAAGCCAGCCCCCGCCAGCCCCGACGAGCGGGCTCTGCTCCGCGCCGCCGCCTGCAGTCGCGCGCGCCGCCTCCCGCCGCGCGCCGCCCTCCTCGCCTCGGCCAGCCTGCCCGAACGCCGCCGCCTTCGCCTTTCCTACCCCGTTGGCCAGCGCCGCAAACGACTCCAACTCATGCGGCCTTTCCTCCAACTCCTCTTCCGGCAGCGCACCATCCGCCTGACAAGGAGGCGGCGAGTTCGACGCCGCCGCCGAAGGATCCCGACGAGTCTGCTCTGCCTCTACCCTGCGCCATCGAACGTTAGTCGTCCCCTGCAGCTTGGTCGCCCGCTCTGTCTCCCCGAGGAAGGGACCCCATGAACAGCGCCCCTGCGAGACGAGCTTGTGACGCGTTGCCCTTTTTTTAGCAGAATCGGACGATTCCAGGAGCAAGGGTGGC